AACCAGAGAGGAAAAAATAAATTAATCTATGGCTTGCAGCAGTAGCACAGGACCTTGGTCATCATAAGTCATTTACTTACTGGTGGAGATTGAAGGCTTCTACTTGCATGTTTTGTTTTGTTTTTGTCAAGGACTTAAAAACAGCTAGAGTTCATAAACTCGTGTGTGTTGGATATCTGCACTGGCATACCTTTTTAAAGTACCACAATATATTTGCTGTTGAATTTGTTAGTATGTGAAAGGGCAGGTATGATCCTGATACTTAATGCCTCCCCCCTAGTGAAATAATTTCTTTTACCAATGTGTTTTTTCTCTCATTATATTCTTAACTAAAAAAAAAAATAAAATTAAAAATTCTTCTCTGCCTCTGGATAAAACTTGCCTGTAGTTAAAAGTGGGAGGCTGAGTCCTGTACTGTACAAAGAAGTGGCTGAAATGGACTTCTTCAGTAGTAGTAAATCTGCTGAGTACTTGTCTCAGAAAAATATCCTTTGAATTTACTGTCTTTGCAAGTAGAATTAAAGGTGTGCTTACGTCTGAAGACAGAATGGTATTTCTGTACCTTTGCAGTTGTTAGAGACTTGTTATTTTCTGTTGACTTCTCTTGACTAGTTGCTGTTTAATTAATAAACTCAGGTTTTATTTTTATGTTTGTGATTTCTTGACTTATGTTCTTGGTTATCTCAATAAACTTTTCTATGATATAAGTTTATTTTGTTACAGGGCAGTAAGCAAAGCCTTTTTTATTGCTGGACAATAGGTAATAGATTTTGGTATTCAGAAAATAACTTTGTCCATTTTTTTCTCTGTTCTTATTCTGGCAGTCTTGAGTAACTGAAAATGTCTTTGCATTTAAGTGCCCATAGACGGTGCATCTTGTTTCTATCAAATACGTATTTTAATCTTCTAGAGGTAACATGAACTTAATTTTTTTTGTGAGTTTTATTTCACTTAATACATTGAAAATTTATCATTTGGAGTATTTCAGTATTGAACTGAAAAAATGTAAATGTCCTGATGTTAAAAATAAATAAATAAAAAATCAAAAATCATGTGCTGCAACTAAAAGCTGAAACAAAGAAAAAGAGCCGTGCCATTGAACCCCTGATGGTTAGGAAAGCAGAGTGTTAAGACTTTACTTTCAGGTTTTGTTCCTAGCTCTGTAACGAGCATGTTTTTACCGGAGCAGTGACGTAATGCATGTCCCATTTTCAGTTTCCAAAATAGGATTGATACTTTTATGCCTGGTTTTTCCTTTCTCTGCATTGGAAGCAACTTTCTCTTTCAAAGTGTTTTTTGATTCTGGGATATTTTTTTTTTTTTAAACTCCACATGCAGAACTGATAAATATTACTTATAAAATCAGAAGATAGACTATTTAATAAAACCTAGGAATACTCACTTACTATGAGTACCATCTGATTTAGTTTGAAAAAGATGATCTGTAATGTTGATTTTGTATAAAATTACTTGCTCTTGTTTGCAAACTTTATTCCCAGCAAGTTATATTTTTTTTGTAGGGGAATATTTAAAATTCTTAAATGTAGAATTCAGAAATAAAGTAAAAATATTTTTTATTTCAAGCATTTTGTTTTAGTGACCACAGTGTTTCCTTAAGTACAAATACCTCGTATATTCTTATGTAAATAAATATAATTTGTTACCTAACAATGAGCCTTTTTAAATACACTTTTCTGAAACTCTTAAGATTTTTATGATGCCGTGGATCTTCTTTCTCTTATGTTTGTTTCCAAGATGCTTTAATGTCTTGAGAAAGTGCATAGTATTTTTGTAGTCCCGAGATACAGTAGTAGGTAGTGGTTTGAAATAAATATGACTTGGCAATGTTTTCTGGAAATTAATTTTTAAAAATTCAGGTTACTGTACTGGTGAGCATGCCTAATTTTTGACATACGAACTTTATTTATCTTTTCTTAGGGATTTCAGTCAATCTTCAAAGTTTACTGTGGTAGATGTTACTAACAGCATTGAGGTCTTTGATAGATGCAGGTTGAATGAATGTTGCTGTTGAGTTTGGAGGAAAGGTTGAATGAAAATAGTTGTTACCTCTGATGCAGCTGCTGACATGACTTTTTCAAAGTACTAACACAGTTGTAGAGTATTGCTGACTTCAAAACTGATTTAATGTGGTCATCATCACTTCTTTGAGCTTAATATATCACAATTCCCCTGATGACAAATCAGAGCAGTATCATTTTCTTTTGGGCTTTCCTGGAAAATCTTGCACTGGACTTGGCTGTGTGTGTGTAGCTAAAAAGTCATTAGTGTATGAAGTGAAAGCTTGCAGTGCTTGCAGTGACGAGAAGAAATACGTTGTTGGTAGTCATTGATCATACGGGGAACTAATATTTGTGCAGCAGTTGTGGAATTTATTTAATATTTTCTTGTTTTTGTTGAACTTTGTGCACTAGAAATTAAAACTCAATTTTAGTATTACATTTATATGAAACATATTATGTTTCATTTAGGTAGAAAGAAAACTAGTGACTGTATATAAGTCTGTATATAGTCTTAATTTTTTTTTTCAAGTGCAGTTAATCTTGCTTTCCACACAGGTGAGCTCATTGTTAACAAAATAGGTAACACGGAGGAAGGAAAAATGTCATTTACTGCAGTGTAACATATGTGCACTTCTTACTGTGGGTTTTCTAAATCACTTTCCAGAACCATGAGAGAAAATGGTTATGTGAACCCTTGTTAACCCAATGACAAGTTAAACCCTTGTCATTGAGAGACTGATAATCTTCAACGAGAGGGAGGAGAAGAGGTAGAAATAGGCAGCTGGAGACAATAACCACTTGAACTTGTACGCTACAGCTATAGTAGCTCATCAGGCTGTGCTCTAAAATCATGTTGATAAAAGGTTCTTGTTTTTGTTGTCTTTACATGAGTCATGCTTTTTTGTTTGGTGGCCAAATACAGAAAAACAAGACATTTGTTACTAAAAAGAAATTTTCACACTAGGAAATGTTTTGATACTACTCTTGCTATCCAAAATATTTCATTTATAAATTGACATTGTGTGGGTATTGTCCCAAGGAACAATGAAATAAAGAGCACTGGATTTTTCTCAGTTATTCAGGTCTCATCTCAAGTATAGAAGTTTATACTGACTCCAACTTTTGCTTTTTTTTTTTTAAATCATCATTTCCTTGTGCTAAGGTGACTTTCAGCAGATGACAGGCAGTCTGTGGATCACATTTCAGAAACCATTTGCCTAAAGCATTTGTGTAAAAATGTCTGAAGTAGAAATAACTTTTGTGAGGAGGGAAAATGAGTTAAGATATCAAGGCTGAGGGAAGTAAAGGGTATGTGGAAGATGTGTGAGAAACAATTGTGTGCTAATGCACGAGAACCTTGGAGCCAAAGGGACTAATTTATTGTCATGGCAAGATTTACCAATCTTGGGAGTGACTGTAACTAGTAATGAAACCTGGGGAGCATTTCCTGCTTGTTTGGTAGCATCTCACTGTTGGCTGTGTGCTGTCAGTGTTAGAGAAAATATTAAAAAAATCAAGTGTTTGGGATGAATCATTTGCAGGAATTGATTTGTATTTGACAGATGTGCTGAAGTAAGTTAGAAAGTTGTAACAGTTCATTCCAAAAGGAATGCTTTTCGTCAGATTTAAAAGCTGCAGGACGGAGCTCCTTATCCTGTAACTGGTCTTTGCTGGCAATCTGTGAATACCACAGAACCAGTTGCAAAACTGGAACTGAAATGCAGATTTTTCAGCTGTTTGTCTAAATGCTCATGTAGTATGGAAATATCGGGACAAAAGGAGTTATTCCTGAAAGAGCTGTGTACAACAGAAATAGCCTTTTCAAGGAAATTTTTTCCTAGTCTCATGAATTTCTTAGGCAATGCAACATTTGTAGGAAGCTTGGCAGAATTTTCACTGTTGTTATGCAGCATTAAGAATTCTGACAGTGCAAAGATGTGAAGGGTTATATGAAATTTATTTGGAGTATATTTTGCTTGAACATATTTTAAATTCAGTGTTAGTATTTATACAAAGTATATTTTGCTTGAACATATTTTAAATTCAGTGTTAGTATTTATACAAAGTACTTAGTGAAAATCAGTTAATCATTGTTGTAGTAAGAAAAATAAAGACAGGGAAGAAATAGCAGTACTTGAATAAAGTGCTTTAAGTGATTATGTTTCAGTTAACCTGCAAAAAAGGGTGGTGTTCATTTATTGGAAATTCTGTATGACACCAGGAAGAGTAGTGTTTCCAGCATAAATTTCAATAATTCTTTTTTTAATATATTTTTTTTAAAAAGAAAGTGAGTTGATGTACTAGACTCTTAGATACGGCGTTGTTCTGATTAGTTTTAAGTCATGAGTTTCTAAATTTGATGTCTACTTGAACTAGTAATTTTTGTTATAAACCTTTTGAAATCTCAGGCATTCTGTTAAACAAGAATGCCAAATGCATTAGTGTAATAAAATACCTTAATAAAGGCTCAATTTTAAGGAAGAATTTCCTGTTTCTAATAAGGAAGAGTGGAGACTCAAATTCATGCATCTTGTTAATTTGAAAACCACTTAAGGTCTTTCGTAATGCTTTGATATGAAGTTCTAAAGCAATCTGACTCCTGAAGTTCTTAAAAATACTCAATCCTGAATAAACTAACTTGTTTTTAAAAACAAATCCTAGTTGAGCACATTTCTGTTGCATCATTATTTAAAACTGGGAGAAAGAGTAATGATAGATACCCATCTTGAGATTATCCGTATACATTTGAGCTATAATAACAAAACTATAGCTTGGAGCATTTTTTTTTTTATAAAGCAATATGCTCCTTTGAGACAAATGCTTTAGGAAGAGGAACTACAAATCTGTATGTACTTTCAATTCAATGTAAATTTGTAGGTAGGTACATGTTACAATTGTCTGTTTTTCTTTTTAGGGCTCATGTAATCAAAGGAGTTTCTTTGTTGTGTGTATCTTTTCAGAACACAACAGGAATTCAAAATGAATCAGGTGAGTATAAATGTAAGACTTTATCAAAATACTTAGATGTTAGAACAGTTAATTATTAATAAGAAAAGTAAATAATCCACCACAAAAGAAATGTTCTTTAAAATCTTTGGTGTCATTAAATTTCATAATCCTTCTTTCTACTATGTGTATGCTTTTGAGATTCATTTTATTTCATGGATTTAAGTTTCTTGTGTGTGAAGTCCCCTTTAGCAGCATGTAAGTTATTACTGCTGGCACCTCTTATAAGAACATCTCTCCAGAAAAATCTATTTCATTCTGAGGCTTTTGGTAATAGTTCAGCTCTTTATAAAAGTGACTTGAAAATTGAAGGCTTCCATTTATTTTTTTTAACCTTTTTTTAACCACTTTACCGTTTCAAATGTGCAGTGAACAGTCTGTCACAGAAATTGTTTGATCAGAAAGCTTTATACTAGTCTGGAAATTTAACCATTTCCCCTAGAATCAAGTGAAAAGACTGGGAAATTATTTTATTTTGCATTTGTCTATCCAAGTAGGAATTCTACATCCAGCTGTCTTAGTGTGCACAGTTGTATTACTTCAAGATACTTACAGAAAAAGTACACGTTGCCTTAGCTTTTTCTCATAAGTACTTCTCTCTTTGGATGATCTTACGAAGTCCCTTCGGCATGGGAATGTGAACATAAGATATAACACTGAAGGAATGCCATTTTTAATTTGCTAAAAAATTTGGCTATGAACAGAAGCTTTCTTAGCCAGAAACAGTCGTGGTACACAGTCGTGTAAAATGCTTTGAATACTTTTTTGATTGATGCTGTATCTAATGAGTGATTTTATTGCCCTTTATGCCCTTATTTGATCATCATCAGCATTGAATACAGTTAGTTAGCACTTTGCTGACGTAAGTTCTAACTAAAGTTATAGAAATATATACATGATATAAGTAATTACAGTGTGAAATGGGTTGGTGGGATGTTTCCTGTTACTTTTTTTCTCTGATTTAAAGTGAAAAATCTTCAATATATGTGTGCATATTTAAAAAGTAAAAAGCAAAATATAATCTCTATCAGAGCCTTGAAATATGTATTGTAAAAATACGTATTTGTATTATATCTATATGCAAATATAAATTATATATATAATACAAATAACATTTGCATTAACACACATTGGTAGTCTAGTTTGGGGCAGTTAGGTTAACTATTGTTTCACAATTTCTTTCTGTTGAGACTTGAAACTTTTTCACCTGTAAGGTTTGTTTTGAATGCACTCACTGGAGTGAATTGAACAGCCTATTGCTCTGTCTGCTTGAGTAATAATCCTGCTGTACTAGTTATTCCAATAAGCTTTGGATTTTGCTAAAATTCTGAAAGCTGTAGATCCTAATCTTTAATTGTTGTCATTGGCTGTTTCCTTCCCATTTGTGTGTCTGTGTCCCCTTGTGTCCTGTCTGTTGTCGTGTCACATCTGTCCCTGATCTGTGTTTAGAATTAAGATTTTTGTGCTGTATGAAAACAAAGACTTATCTTTCTTATTGCAACTGATAATATTGCTTATGCAGTGCTGTGATGTGTGTCATCTTACAATCAAATAATGAGATGACCCTATCTCTGGGAGTAGTTACAATAGCTTTGAGTCCTTCTTGGTATTTCTGGCTTTCACGTTGAGTTTCCAAAGTGTACAGAGCTCATATGGCTTTTTATTGTTCAATTACCATTCATATTAAGTGTGTATTTAGCATCAACCCTGTGGTGTTTTTTCTTGCAGTGCCCTTGTCATTTCATTCACTGTTGACAAGTTGTAGTGCCAGGTCTGTATAAGAAATGTTTTTGCCTGATGCCAAACATCTTTCAAGTTTTCTGTTCTCCTATTTCTTGCCTTCTGCTTATCTCTGCTTATGGTGTGACTTCAGTGACCTTGTGTCCTGGTTTTGCCAACTAATTGGACTATTGTTAATTTGCTTTATAGGATAAGACTGCTAATTTTGTTGTTTATCCCATAGAAATCTTGAAGTAGTGAAGGAAAACCTTTTCATAAATACTTTGATATGGCCTTTTTGTAGTAAGGAGAAAAAGGATTTTTAAAAAAAAAGGCTGCTATTGTTGGAATTAGTATTTTTGGAAGATTGCTGTCTCAGGATAGACAGTATGCATTCTCTATTTGCTTTAAAAAGAGATCTTCCTTTAACATGTAAACTACTTAATCAGAATATGGTGAATAATTTATTTAAAAAAACCCAAGCAAGTACAGGGTTTTGATTGGCAGCATTTACTGCATCTCAGGCTGCTTTGAGATACAGTAGGAAGAAGGTTGTGTGCTACCTGAAAAACTGCATTGGCAGTTACTTTAAAAAAGGTGAGGCATATGTTAACAAATTACAGCTGCATTTGTACTGAAACTCCCTCCCCCCAATCTCTCTGCGTTTTTCAATGATTATTTCAATATTTCCAATATGTCTTTAATCTTGAAGCACATGCAGTGAAATTGTGGTGAAGAGGGGTAACCAGATAAGGTTCTTGGACAAGCAGAGACCTTTTTGCTTCCGACTTACCTTCCTTGTGCTAGCTGGCGGTTTGCATCAGCAATCTTCCTTAGTTACTTCATCTTTTCACAATTACTTCTACCTTCTCTGCCATCTCCTCTCTCTTCATTGACATCCTCTCCTTTATCTTTTCATTTATCTTCATCCTATTCCCACCAAAACATGACACTAACTGGATGTCTGTCACTCATTACACTGTTGAGTATATTGTGGTTTTTTTTTTTTTCCTTTTCATTCTGATCTCTGATCATCTGTAAACACCCTGTTGCAGGTACTGTTTCTACTCTGCTTAAACACTGCTTGTAGCATTATAGTCTAATTTATGGTTGGTCCATAGGTACAACTATATTGAAAGTGATATGAAAAATTGCTTAATCAATGCATTGAAAGGTACTGTCAAAGTGACTGGACTCTGAATTTGATGCAAACAGGAAAAGAGTTTCAGTTAAGGCACCTCTTCAGTCCTTGAATGATTATCTTTTTTGTATTGTTCTTGAGTCACTCACCCCAGCGAATTTGAATGCTAGCAGTGTAATATTTCTGATGAACTTCAGAGTAAGAAGCTTAAAGGTGAAATAAGCTTCAAGTGCTTTTGTATTCAAAATTGCAGTCTTGGAGTGAGTGACTAATACTGTATTAGGACTTCAGTTAAATGCAAAAGCTTGCTGTAGGACATGCACCAGTACACTATCCTTATCAAGAGGTGAATTTTTAAAATAGAAAAGTCAATTTAAATGTGATGGTTAAGTGTTGGTGGAAAAGCGATTGAAATAGAGTATTTCTTCATTTGGTAGACAGACATTCCTCGGGGAAAGTTGTGATCTGGAAAATGTTTTAAGTAGCTACATTTAAATTGCAAATAAAATTGAATTGCACTGATTTGACTGAACTAAATTGTTGTTTATTTTACGTTACAGTATTTGGTTACTTATTACCATTTGTTTGAGGTGTGAAATGTATTGTTATGTTCTAGGCTATATCAAATTTTCTGGTACTTCTGAAATCCATTAGTATGACAGGTGCTGAATGACTCAGAGTGCTGTGTTCTCAGACTGTAGCTGCTAATCTTTGATTTATGTAGGTAAATGCAAAATGAAATTCTCTTGTATACTACTCCATGCAAATAAACTTCTTAAATGCTAGAACAGTTTTGGAATATTGATGGCTAAAAGGAGGTGTGACTATTAAGGAATATGCCAGTCACATCTAGGGTATGACACAGTGCTGTAGACTTCTGTCTAAATCACTTGAGTCTGATTTTTACAGTTTTGGTAGGATAACATTTATTTGCAGGCTTGAGATTTTTAACTGCTCCTCTAGCTATGGTTGTAAAAATTAATAATAAAAAAACCCCAAGCACCCCTACCCCCCAAAAAAGAAAACCAAAACCTCCCAAACAAACCAAACCAGAAAATGAAACCCAATTGAAAAACCACTCCACTTTCATTAGCTTGAAACTGGAAGTGTGTTGTTCTGATAGCTGTCTTACTCACTCTCTATAGTCCCCCTCATCTATGCCTATATATAATTTGTTAGAAACCACTGTGAAAAACAGGCTTGTTTCTCCCGTGCTGAAATCACAGGGTAATGTACTGGAAAGATATTTAGGTTTCTTTGATATGCTGAGAAGAGTGTGTTTCTTTTTTGTCTGATGAGACATGGCTTCTTGTGTATCAGTTTAGTGCTAACAGATGTCTGAAAATCAGACTTCTTCCTTTACTATTTTTCCTTTTGGATTGTTGGAAGAGCAAAATAAAACTTTGCTCTGCTTTGAATAGACTTCAGCTATTATAACTAAAGAATAAGACTGGTTTTTTTCCTCCCCAGTCTTTCACTCTCTTGGATGGGAAGGGATTTCTGGCATTCTATTGCTTCCATGGTTTCCATTTTGGGGGTCTTTCTCCCCTGCAAATAGCTCTCTAGGATGTGTCTGTGCAGCTGCTAGGGCTTACCAAGGCAGCAATAGAATAACCTTGCTATGACTCCAGTTTTATCATTTTTCTCATTGTTGCTGTTAAAGCTGGCAGACGACATGTTCTTGTGACTTAACTCAGCAAGTCACATTCATAAATGTAGAGAATAATTGCTGTACTCAGCACCCTCACAAATAATGGGTAATGAGTAGAAAAAATTGAGAAGTTTTTTCTGGTTTGCTTTAGAGATAAAACCCTTATATTTGTTAGCATATAGAGATGCATTGTAAAATATATTTCCAGTAAACTTTCAGCATAACAGAAGTGCTCAATGGAAAATGCTCAGAATATTACTCAGAAACTATGAAAACTACTATTGTAACTCTGCTTTATGTTTATGTGTAAAAGCAAGAATCATTTCCAGAAAGTCAGGGTTTACTTGAACAACTGTAGTGTTGCCCAAGTTGTTTAACACCTCCTAAAGCTTATTCTGAGCTTAATTATACCATCTTTCATATTAGAGTAGCTATTGATATCACCACCAGTATTTGTTCCTCACCAGAATGAGCAAAGTTCACTGTCAGAAAGCAGATACTTTTTTTTTTTACAGCTGTTTCACGTGGTTGAACATATGTCTAGTTCTCACCAACCACAATTATTTCATACTGTGGACAGATTTTATGGGAAACTCTGCATGCTTGTTACTTCCAAATTGTGGTCATTTTTATCAGGAATAGTGTTTTTTTGATTCTCATAAGGTAATAAAGAGCTAGTTGTTTAATAATAAGTGTGAGTAGTGTTTTCTGTTGTTATACAAATAATAGTATCAATAATTTTATAGCCTATCGAACTTTGTAGTCTTCTTAAAATGGAACTAATCACATCCTAGACATTTATAAATAATTTATTAGCTTTCTATTACCTTTCAATCTTTAATATAAAATAACCTTAAAATCTTTTATATTAATTATAACCTGCTGGATAAGCATTCTGAGCTGCTGATTTATTTAGGAATTACAATTAACATTTAGGGTACTGAAATAGTAGCTTTTATGATATTGTTTAAACCCCTTTATTTTCTCTAAAAGCTGCTTTTAGATTATTTTGTTGTAGAGCAGTAAAATTGACATGCAGGTACTTCAGTGTTGATTTTTGGAGTGAAATGGCGTGTTTGTAGGTTGTAAATAGAGCAGCAGAAATACACCCAGTAGTAGCTCTGTGAAGTACATTAAAATACAAGCTTCATCTTGTCAGCTCTAAGGGTATTATATGCATTACTGGTCTCCAGTATGTCCAGGGTAGCTTGTCTCTTTCTGCCCAACATTCAGTACTGGGTAGTACAGGATATATCTGTTTTTATAGCAGAGTAGGTGATGTTCTGGTGTATACGTTGGAGTAATTATTTTGCTGCAGCATCTTCGATTCAATAGGTAAACCAAACAACTTGAGATTTTTGTGAACCATATGCACTTCTCAGAACTTTGAGTATGGTTTTCTCCTTAAATAACTGCTTAGTCTTTCTCACAAGTGTTATATTTTCACATAAAGCAATACCAGAACCTATTTTAGATTGTTTTAGGGGGACTGATTAGATTGAGTATGCCTGGGAGTCATCATTTGAAAAGAAGAAACAAAGAATTGACAATATATGTGAAATTATCCTCAGTGTGGTGGGTAGCTGATGTTCTGGCTTTGTGCTGTATTTCCAAAGTCATCACTTGTGTGTTTCTAGGCAAGTTATTCCTGTTACTGAAGCTTTACATCATTCTTGTCTTTATGCACAGAGGTGTACAGAGTTGTTTCGTTTGGAACTTTTATGTACATGATTGGGAAATAATTGACAAAATTAAAATGGAAGGCTGCATTTTAAAAATTAAAATGCAAAATTAAAATGGAAGGCTGAGGGTTTGGACCCTCAGACTGTTTAAGTTCTCTGGAGCTGGAATTACCTTTTGTTTTGGAACTTTGAGTTGTCCTTATACTCTTAAGCTGAAATATCAGTAGGCTTTCATTATGAACACAAATAGTGTGTTGTTAGGGACTTCTCAGGAAAATTGCAGTGTATCTCAGTTTTCATGTAAAAGAATTGAAGGATTCTTTAAAAAATCCATGGAAAATGAAAAATTCTAGAATTGCGTGTTGAGTACAAGTAAATATTTTTAGAACTTAACAAATTTCCTGCCTCTCTATTAATAGCCATGCCTTTAATAGTGATTTTGTTGTTGTTGCTGTTGATCACTATTGCTTTTTTATGGATAGATATTTATGCTTAGTCAAACAGAAAATGAAATGGATGTTTAATAAAACAGAAAACATATTCTTTACAAATATGTTGTGTAACCAAAATAATTATAATGCTTCAAAAGAATCCTTAAGGAACTGGAGATTTTTGTAGTGATACTAAAACTCTAGGACTGTTTCTAGGAACACTTACATGATACTTCTTTGAAGAAAGTCTCAGCATAATAGAATAGGCAGGTGGAGCAACTTTATAGTGTATTTTATCTGGAATTTGAAAGAACTTTTATTAGAAACGGCACAAAGGAATGTTGTCTCAACATAATGTAGCATGTTACAATGCTATTACTGACCTAATTACTTGTTAAATGTAAATTTTTTTACTGGTCAGTAAAAAAAATGCAACTGAAAACTGTTCCATGGATGAGTTTTAGATTACTATATTATATTAACGAGCGGTTTCAAAGACTTGACACTAAGCCTCAACTCATATGAAAATTATATTCTGAAAAATATAGATATTTTCCCAAGTATAGAACCATTCATCCTTAGGAATACTACAGTAGTGCTGTCAGGTAAGTCATATTCAGACAGGAAAAATAAAATAGCTTTAGCTCTCTTCTCCAGCTAAATCAAGGGAGAATTTTCAATTTGTTTTTGAGGAGAGGCCAAGGAAAATGAACAAAATGGCACAAGGCCCGAGAGATACATGAAAATGCTTTCTGTTAGATTTACTCACTGTATACCACTTGTAATCAAAACACATCCAAAAGATTATTTACAGCAACTTTAATTATCAGTGCTTTACGTGTATCTCTAATGTGGTCTTAGAACTCTGCATTAAAGGATAAAGAAGTGTAATGAAATAATAGTGAAAACTTGAATATTCTGTTAAAAATATACTTCTATATTAGCATGCTGATGGAGGGGACCCTAGTTGGGGACCCAAATTTTACTTTAATTTCAAGTCAGGAGTTTCTGTAGCTTATATGGGTTGATAATCTGTTGTGCTATTGGTTTTATTTGTTAATGGTTGTGGCCCTTCTGGCTTTTTGACTTGTAGAACACAACTGAACCTACTGTCACTGTGGAGACCTTAGATGATGTACCTGAGCATGTGCTTAGAGGGCTTCCTGAGGACGTGAGGCTCCTCCCATCTGCTGTTGACAAGACACGGCTTGGTGAGTGCTTCATCTGTGAAAAGAGAATGAAGATTTTTACACTAGATCTACAGTTTTACACAAGCTACAGTTGCTGTGCAAGTTTGGTGCCCTCCTGTGCTGGGGAGAGATATCTGGTGCATTTATCTGAAATAATTTCCGTTGGAAAGGGTGGACAGCTTCTGAGTTTGTCCAGCATCCCCAGATGATGTTCCTAGAATATTAGAACTAGGGTGAAAGGTGGACCAAGATGCACATAGATTAGGTTATGAAAATACTGATATGTTACTTCACTGATTTGTTTTCACTTACAGCACTTCACACAGTTTTGTGTTTTGCAACTATCTTACTGTTGTCTCTTTAGGATGCTGCATCTCGCTTCCAATCAATATAAAAAGTTTAATTTATAAGAACAGATTCAGTGCAGACTTGAAAGCTGCTAAATGGAGCAAAGTGTTCTTTCTGTAATATGTGCAAAATGCTTGGCTTCTTTTTTTTTAACAGAGTTTAACGTGGGAGAACTTTGATGGAAGTCAGAATTACAGACTGGATACTTGATGCTGAAAGCTGGTAGTTAAAGGAATAAGCCTGACAACAAATGCATTACTGTTAGTAACAGGTTATAAACTCCTTGGAGCAAGGTTAATCTTTTCTAGTATGAACCTGATCTAGCATGGTGTGAATGAGAGTGTTATGTTTAGTTAGCAATTATTTGTCCATCTGTTCTTAGTTTTCATGCTATAAAATATGAAATGCGGCTGTCCATTTTCAGTTCAGTTAAATTTGTCAATAAATTTGTGGGCAGATGCACATGTTTTAACCAATCCTAAATGTTTTTTCCTTCAAGATATACTATTAATTGATTTCACAACTTTTTGTTGAGGGCTTCATTTGCCTGGCATTGTTTCAGAGAAAGAAAATAGGATTTTTGCTTTAATAACATGCTTACTCAGAAAAATGGCTGAAATCAGGGACTTCAGCTCTTATGGTATTTTGACTATCACCTGAAGTATAAGAAAAAGTGAGGTTGTTTTTTGTCTCCAGAGTTACAGTACCCATGAGCAAAGAATGAAACCAGGTAAATGCTTAAACCTTTCATTATTGAAGTGAGTTTTGGGGAGAGGATTGTTTGAATTCATATTAGTAAACTTCAATTTCCTTATTGAGATCTTAATATTGTAGAACGCTCCCCAATTGACAGACACATATAATGATCTTAAGAAATACAAACCCTGAGCAGAAGATTTGGTTGAGATAAGTTAGATTATTTTTAACTACTGATATGTGTCTCTTCAGGTGTCTGGGCAACAAAATCAATTTTAAAAGGGAAGAAGTTTGGACCATTTGTTGGTGACAAGAAAAAAAGGTCTCAAGTTAAAAGCAATGTTTACATGTGGGAGGTAAGAAACTGCTTGTAAAAAGTATCTGTCACTAGGTCAATATTTTGTATTTAGCCTTTAATTCTTCCAGAGCTTTTAGACCTGATGTGAAATAATTGCCATCTATTTCTACCATTGCAAACACTTATTTATTGATACTTAGATTGAGCAGCCATTCTGAATTACAAAGATTTAGACTATTGACATTATTTTAAATTACTGTATTAATTTTCTTATATACTGTCTCTGGATCACACCCATCCTTAAGAGTCTGTTGCTGATAAAGCTTCGCTTTGTTGGTTTGAACCCTGGGTGAGATCCCTTCTGCAACTGAGTGCTGTCAACTGCTTATGAAATTAGGGAAATTAGGAATATGGAATCACTTAAGGAAGCCACAGCACTCCTCCTCATTTAGCTCTTTGAAAACCAGCTTTGTTATGGGAATTTGTTTTGCTTTTGGAGTTTTTATAAAACTTCTTAACTGTTGCAGTATTTCTTGTGCTGCTTGTGTTTGGGCTTGCCTTAAAGCAAATACTGTCTGGACAGCTGAATAGCTCTTTCAGCTCCACTGATAGTCATAAGACCTTGGATATTATGCAAATGAAAAAATGTAGGTGTCTTAATCTGAAGATGAATCCTATCTACAGTGTTTTTAAGGCAGTTCATAACTACTTCCAAAGACTTTTTCAGCCTTTCAGAAGACATATAGAAAATGGCTTTAGCAAATTAAATGGTCAGGGAGGGGAGGGATGGATGAACTGTGGCATAGCATGTTCTGGAACAAAACTTGCTAGTTTACAGATTTTTAGGCTAAAGATATTGATAGTAGTCATCCATCTGGCCCTAGGCCTGCAAAAATTGAACTGCAGAAACCACTGGGTACATATACAAAACTCAATGTTAACCCCTATCAGAGGAATTGATCTAGAACAGTTTCCCATACATGCAATTTCACATTCAGGAAAGTAATCAAGTGTTCAAATATAATGTTTGTTGCATTGAGCTAATGTCATCACAAACTCCACTGCATAAGGTATCTCCAGTTTTGATCTGGTACAAGAACACTTGGTAAGACTGAATCAGTCAAGTAAATTATTGACCTTACAGTTGTTTTTCTCACTGCTGGATTTTGAATGTTCTCAATGGATATATCTTAATATTTTTTTTAAAATTTGTGTTGAGAAATGATAACTGCAAACAAACTATTGCAGCCTTTCAGAGTTTGCAGTGTAGGTGATAATGGGAACCTTAGCTAGATTTGAAAGTAATTGTGTGCTGCTTTAATACTGATTTTAGAATTTTTAAAAAAGCAGCTAAAATGAGACCGCAACAGTTGACCCATATGCTGATATCTGAAAACACTCCAGAATCTTATTAGTTAGAAAATATGGTTTGTAAAAGGATAGTGGTGTGTGGGAGTGGTTAGTTAGGTATATGGCCCTTCCACTAGGAAAACAATCTTTTTCCACAAGAATCCCATTTGTTTCTTTAGTGAAGTTAATCTGAAGAAAAAGCAGGGCTTCTGAAAGCTGGCATCTGCAGTCAATTTTAATAACTTCGAACTGTCACACTAGGGGATCATTCTGAATGAGTTGTGTGTCAGTGTTTGCTTGCTGTGTCTGAGGAGAGAAATAGAGGCTTGAACATATTTCCATTTTCTGTCGGAGAAAAGCCACAGGTAGGAATGACAGCAAGTGACTGAAAGGGAGGGAAACGCCGTCTGCCGATGCAGGATGACTGGCACAACTGTGCTGAACGCTCGTGATCATGGTTTACAGGAATTGTTTCAAGTCGCAGTGTTACACAGAGGAGTTGGAGCTTTGTCCTTTCTCACAGTGTACAAGGCCTTTAAACAATATTCTGTAAATTAGAAGCTTTAACTGAAAAGTAATAAAGTATTTGGCTTTGTGCAAAAACATAATAAAGTAATATAAAAACATAAAAAGTAATATATAGAAATGATAATAGTAGTTTGCCTTATATTTTGTATCTGCTAACTCTTTTACAGCATCATCTGGCTCTTTTCTTCCATTTTAACAGAAAGAATTGCTTTTACAGCCTTGATCTGTGAAAGCTGTTTATGCTTTCACATTGCAAGGGCTGGGTGTGCTGATGAGCATTCCTTCAGAAGTCAGCTGATGAAATCCATACTGGAATAGTTTAAGGAAGGGAGATGTTTTCTCTTTGCTTGGAAAGAAACTGAGATGATTTTGGTATTTATTGAAACTTTACCTTGGAAAATGTAAAACAGTTTGAAAAGACTTAGAATTACTTGTCAGTATCAGGAGAAAAAAAAGCTACAACATTGTAACAGAATGGGAAGGTTACAATGAAATCAGAATTTTAGTTTATTCCTTGTCTGCGGTGGTGCAAAGTGAATGTTGCAGGAGGTGATGAGCTAGGGAGGCTGGGTTTTGAAAAGCAATCTCCCAGGCAGAGGCTGATATTTCTAGACAGACAAAGTACTGGAAAAATGGTAGTTCCAGTTGCCGGAAAGTCGTATGTTCTTCTGTTTGGGAAAAAATGTATAACATCCACTGATAGCTCTTCTTATAGGCATCTCACTTGGATTATAATAAGAAAAGTGGGAGATACATAACATATGTTGAAAGAGAAGCAGAGTTGCCTGTCATCAGAAAATACTGAAGATGTCAGTAACCTTGCTCTATGGCAAACTGTCTTGAAATGTAGAACAGGAGTAGGTGTTAAAAATTTTTCTTGAAGAACAGGAACCAAAAAATTTACACATCATCTTGGAACATACAGAAGTTCATTGGCATGCATGGTCGATTTTTTAAGGTGATCACAAGATTTCTGAAAGGTCACGATTTTGTTTAATAGCCTGAAAAAAGATTAAGTATAAATTATAATTTCCCTTATCCTTCCAAATAAAGCACATGCTTTTAACTTCTAGAGTTACTCTTCCCAATTCATCAGATAGTAAAAATAAAGCTCTGTTGCCTTTATATCTTAAAATCAATTATTTAACTAAATGCAAAATCTAGATAATTACTTCAACTTGCCTAACTGAAAAGAAAACATAAAATGTTTTAAGTGTTCTGGCTTTTGAGCCCAAAACCTTCAGAGAAGGGCTTGTAGGCCAAAAGTTACTTTTTTCCAATTGAACCAGTTCCACTAAAAAGATTGCAGAAGACCAGCAACGCCCCCCCCAGTACAGCCCCTACCGATGATTATATCCTTTGTGTTATCTCCACCCTTAGGTGGTAACTTCTCTTTGCATAGCTTTAAAATGTGTAGCGTTCTAGTGCGTGTACACTTGTCTGTTTGCTTAATGCCATTTCTGTCTCGCAGGTGTATTACCCAAACTTGGGATGGATGTGTGTTGATGCAACTGATCCAAAGAAAGGGAATTGGCTACGGTATATAAACTGGGCACGTTCAGGACAGGAGCAAAATCTGTTTCCTCTGGAGATCAACAGGACCATATACTACAAAAGTTTAAAGGTATCAGTGTCTGAAGAATAACTTACTGCTCTGTTACTTTTCATTATTAATACCTTTTATTCCCCTTTATTCAACTCCTATTTTTTTTTTTTTACTATTTGTATTAAACAGATTTTGAAACGTTTTATGAGATATAATTAAAATATTGCAAATGCTCATTTCATTGGTCTAAATTCTTCTGTGCCAATACAGGTGACATTAAGATCTTCTGTAAAAATATACGATACGTGTGAACGTTAAGCTCTATCTTGTCGGTTAATGATTTGCTATAGCACCAAATTTGATACAAACTAAAATGAAAATCTGTAGCAGATTACATAAAATAAATGTTTTTCTGTAGATACTGAGACACTTGCTACTGAGGATTTTTTGCAGCAATCGGTTATTTTTACAGTCTGCATAATGTGACATAGGTTGATTGTCAAGGCAGTTTTGTAGATAGCTTCATGAAACAAATTTTTCCTGGTTTTATACCATACCAGTTTTATTCAGGGAGTGGGGGGACAGGAAAAAAATGTGGAATTCCTGAGGCATTGTATCTCCCAAACCAAGATAAAAAAATGGTTTAACTATAAATAATAGTAGAGTATGTTAGTGTTAGAATATTGTGGCCATAAAGTATTATTTGAATCTCTGATCAAGAACCTACTAGCAGTGAGTATATGTAACTCGACTTTGTTTTTATTTAAAATGCTTTTGTGGTTCTTGGGTATATGCAGCCTTGCTGTTATGCTATTGCTGTTTCTTACATTTCCTTGTAAGGCCAACAACATCTGTAAGAAACTGATCTTCACTTAATAAAAGAATGAGTTGATACCTTGCAGTTTTGAAGTTTATAGGTCAATATAGCAATATGTAAAACACTTACATTTTAGGTCACTCAAACTAGATTGAAAAAAAACCCCAAAACCTAACCCAAAGTTCTAAGCATTTTCTGAACTTTCTGATAGCTTTAAGATAACATTCAAGTAGAGGTTGGCTATTGCCAGCCAGGCTTTTGACTTCTCGACCAAGTTTGATCACTGAGGGCATGTTCCCAGTGGGAATCTGTAGACAGGTTAGTTTTCTTTAAACACTTTATCTTGGGTTACCTCTGCCTTTGCCCATAGTCACACTAGTACATTAACTTGTGTGCTTTTGGAGTCACGCTGACATTTTAAATTTCTCTCTCATTGAATCTTTTCTGCAAAGGTTTTAGTCTTGAATAAGACAGGCATTCACATATTTCATTTGTTTTCTGATGGATAATATTGCACTTTGGAAAATAATTGTACTGCTAAAAGAGGCTGAGTGCTGCTGACGGAATAACAAATACCTTGCCTCAGCGTCTGAAGTGTTCCTTTGACTGTCTTCTCTTGCAACCTGATAAATTTTATCTTAGCAAGTCTTGCCAGTGAATCACACTGCCAAGCAGTTCTTTCTGAAGACTGTTAGAGAAGCCTGTAAGGATCAGTTTTATTGGTTTCAAAATCTGTCTGGAATTTGTTGCAGCGTGAGATTTTGAGTTTGGGATGTGAAGAGCCACCTTCAGCAGAGTTTATTTGCCCCTGCAGCAACCACTATGGGATTCTTTAGTAGCTTCATTTCAGCTTTGGCAGTACCAGTCCCAGGCAAGCTTCTGGAAATTCATGTTGGTGTCTGTGCTGTGTGCTAGTTGGAGGGAGTGTTGTGTCAGAAATGGTGTTATTTCCAGGCTGCCTCTGCACAAAGGCTTGCTGCTCTTCCTCAGAGAGGCCAGTGTAGAAGCGAGTTGGTTTGGGTGCCAGGACCTGAGCTGGTATAGAACCACTGAGTTGTTTCTGCCCTGCAGATTTAGTTCCAGGAGCACAGTTTAGACATGCTCAAACTAGTTCTGCACAAGCCAGGTTGGGATGGCTTGTGTTGGTAATCCCAGCTTTATGCTGCTCAGAAGTAACCAAACTATTTCCAGGACCAAGTTAGTCCACCCAGCATTGCAACTGTGGTTCAGCGCTGCGCTCCTGCTGTTCCTTGATTGTCGCTACATCTATGACACTGATAACTTGGCAGTTCATTTCAGAGGTGGCTGTAGACATGTCTGAGATGCTTCACTGTGCAAACCTAGGTTATAATGTGAAGTTTAACTTTGCTCCATAATTGGAGAGAAAAAAGCTCACAAATCCGTCATAATGAATGTTCGTTAAAAGCACATACTGATATTCCAATTATTTTTTGAACTACCTATTTCAATATATTTTATTCACTTCTCCCACCTTTTAGAGAAAATATGTAAGGAAAATTCTAATCTGTGATGATTTTTGAAGTGAAAACTTGACATGGAATTGGACAGTTTTCATTACCATTAAAATACAGCATTCAGTCAGCATACCGATAAATCAGGTCAAGATTTAGAAGGTCACATTTCGTGGTTTTAATTGCACAAGTGGACTGTTCTTGTAGTTTAATAGGAATATTTCAAATCCAGTATTCCATTTAATTTCCTGTCCTTTCCAACAATATGAAAACCAAAGGAGGTTATTAAGAAAGCTTATTTTGTCTAGTCTTTTTTTAAACTTATTTTTCATTATTTAAAGTGACAAATTTATAGTAACTAGGCTTTTTAAATAAAGTTGGTGTGAAGAAATTGGAAGTTAAGCTGTAAGTGACTGACAGTTTAGGAGAGTTATAATGTAGTGGAGGAGATTTTGAATGTGTGGTCTCAAGGGCAAGTTACTACAGTAAAGTATTTAAATATTGTGAGCTGTATCAGTTTTTGGTGTCCTGTACCTTAGAAACTGTAGGGGAAAAATCATACCTTGGGAAAAAATTGTGCTGTTTTCTGCTTTCTTGACAAAAGAGTTGCTTATATATCAGCTTCTTATTTAAAGGTTTCTTTTTGCATCACCTTCTGTATCAGAGATGATGTTGTTCTTATAGGGTCCATATCAGTTTTAGATTCATATCACAACTTACTGAGAAGTGAGACAAAAAAAAAAAGCATGTAATAAATAACACCTTGAACGTCCTTCTCTTTCTGCATATCATGTGTTACGGTGTATACACTGCCATTTCAAAACTGTTGTAAATTTACCAGCCCAGGTATGTACACATAGTTCCTTCCTGATCTTTATCATAATTCATAAATTTAGGGGCATTCCATTTGGTGATAAATAAAGAGCACAATTTTTATTTACCCCCAAAAGAGAATTAGAGTGGCTTGTATGTCATTTTGTCCTGCTTTACCTCAAAGCATTTAAAATGTTGCCATAGCTATTTATTTCTTTCCCAAGGTTTTCTTCAGCTTTTTGTGGGCTTCTAATTTGTAAGTTAAACCAACTGATTTCCAACCTTCATTGCTAAGATAAGCAAAATCCAAATTTGCTTGGTGTAAATGAACCTCAAAACTACACAGAGTTTTAATTTCCCTGTTTTCTGCTGTAAATGAATTAATAGGATAGAATTTTTAAGTGAGCACAAGCAAATATTTTTCTCTTCCATCTTCATCTTTACTGAAGGACTGAGAATATTTGTAGACTGCTTTGCATATGCTTTCCCCAGGATGCATAATTAAGAGATGTGATATTTCATTGAAACAGCTCAAACTCATTATGGGATTTCAGAAGTTCTTCCCACCTCTTGTAATGAAATGAGGTAGTTGGATAGTGGAGTTCTGCACCTAGTACAGGACTTTGTAATTCTTAAAGAAGTAAAATTGCAGTGAACACTCAGTTTCAAGATTCTAAATAAGATTGGCTCTGAAACTGTCCTTGATTAGGGCAAAATTCATTTGTTTATGGAAGAATGTTTTGCCAAACAGGTTCATAGTAACTCAAGAACCTCCCTGTTACACAGGGTTGCACTGTAACAGGGTTATGTATTGTGAAAAATGCTCACAAGTACTAATGCCACAAACTGGCCATTGTGGGTACATCTGGGGAGATAAGGCCACATCCAGGTGCAAAGGGAGGGTATCACAGGAAAATGCAGTTTCTGTGGTGAAAAAGAAATACTCTACTAAGGTCAGACAGGCAAATGCCTATCTCAGGCTGTGTACGAGACACATTGCAGTGCTTGTAGGCGTACAGTGAATTGAATTTTAGACAACCTGTGCTAGAACTTAGGATATAACTTGTTAGGATATTACTCAAAAATAACAAATTTTGAAATTACTTTAACCCTTTCTGAACAGAAAATGTTCAGATCACGGAATGTTAATTGTTGCAGTTAAAAGATAAAGCACCAAAAAGCATGTAGAAGTTACTGACTTAACTAGCCTGCCCAAGCTATCCCGACCTGACAGTGCTGCACAAACAATCTGTAGGTTTGGGGAGGTTGGTTTTTGGGGTTGTTATTAGAGGGTGTCATCAGTAAGAGATGGCTGTGTTCTCCAACGTCAGAGTAGCGGTGGAAGTGCCACTTGGTCAGTGCGGTCCTTCTCTCGCTTGTATTGCTAGTGAGGGAGCCATTTTAATTGTCTGATTTTTAAAGCTGCTGCTACATCTTATATTAAAAGTGGAAGGTTAGAGGGCTTAATTTGGATTCTAGAGTTGTTACACCAAAACTAAATTCATCAAGTTGAATGTTAGTTCCAACCATGCAGCTAACAAATTACATGCTTGTTATCATCCTGCGTTTGCATTGCCTAAAATTTTTGCCAGCTCTTTTCTCCACGTTTGTATATTGTTTAGATGCGAAGTTGTTTGCATCAGGCAACTCTTCTTCATTCTTTGCTGCTCAACAGCTGCAAAATGAGACCATGCAAATAACTTTACCACTATTTATCCTATCCAGAAATGTTAAGGAAGCCAAACCATAGGCTTTGCTTATATTATAACTTAAACACTTCACATAGTTGTTGGGATCTTGCATCTCCTGTTGTTCCAGTGTCTGGGGTTATAAAGATAAGTATCACCTTTATCAAGTGCTGTGAGACCCACTAAAAAAAAAAGTGCTTTAGAAGAAACAAGTGTTACTATTGTTCTGGATAGAAAATTTTCCTTTGGCTTCAGACTTGAAATAATAGAGTAAGGACACCCTTTGCT